TTTGAAATGGAACTTTACAAGTCCTTTTTGTTCAAATAGGCGTATGCGAAGTGAATTTATTTATATCAAATGGCAAGCGTTTTGAAAGTTATCATTAGCCCTTTAGTTGACTTCAGGCTTCACAGAGGGGAGGAGGAACATCAAATCGAAAAGTCGATGGAGGGGGGGGGGGGGGGACCGAAGAGGGTTTCAAAGATGTAAAAGAGACAGACACAAATGTAGAAAAAAAGTGAGCTGAGTACTGTGGAAGAAGTCGAATATGACGTAGAGTAGGGTGATGGAAGTTTGATGTACGAAGTCAACTGCCGGTTAATAGACTTTTTTGCCGTACGAAGATATGTTGCCCAGGGTTCATTGCATGGAGGTAAGTCTATTGCACACCCTGATTAAAGTAGCTGATAAATCTCCTTTATTTCAGCCGCTGACACACACCGCTACCAACCTCCCAAACTCTGTCCTTCCCACAATCCAAATCCCCATCTACACGAGAGCCTTCACGGTGGCAATGGTAGTATCAGCAGTTGCGTTCACCAGCATACCTGTCAACAATCACAACAAGGATCCAGAGGACCTCCCATGCACACTTGTGAGGTGCATCCCATGGGACCCGCGTGTATTCACAAACAGCAGCAACAGCAGCAGCAGCAGCATGTGTGTCGATCAGCCGACTGGCCAACAAAGGATACACGCGGCCCCTACGCCCAAAGAGGCGTGATGGATCAACAGACACCCAATTCACCGCAGTCTGAACGGAATGCAAACGAGACTTTAGCCAGTCCTTCTACACGGACGGGGAGTTTTTCCCACCGACAGCAGCGTCATGTGGTTCCGACAGTGAATATCGCCGACTTTGATGTTGCTGGAGATAGAAGTGCACCGGATACCATCTCACACAACAGTGGAGGTCAGACAGTGAGTGTTTTTTCTTACTTAAATCTTGAAGTGGATCATTGGTATAAGTTGAATGATTGGGTTCTTAAAACTTAAAGAGAGTGGTTTCGTGAAAGCATTAAAATGGGATAATGAGTTTTCAGGTCCATCTAAATTGAATTAACCGGTGATAACGTTGAGAGATTGGTCATTCCGCTTATGAGGAATGTTCTGGTATTTTTTCCCAAAATTACCTTTTACTGTGTAGCGGATTGCTACCTTAGTAAAGCCTGACTGACTCAGAAATCTCTATGGCAAATTCTCCAACATCTAGCTAGACTCCCAGAACTGGCTAAGCTATGGCCCAGCTATAAAGGAAACAGACGTGTAGCACGGAGCACGTTTATTCAGTAGATAAACCACGCAAGAAGTGTGTACAGGAAGGAAACCCAGTCATACAACATGGCGGATTTGGTAAAACAAGTGAGGGCCCTTGAGCTGCTATTGGCTGCGCGCTCTTGCCCTCAATCCGTACGCGAGGTTGTACGGCCGCACATCAAGCCTATGAGTACACGCATGCGATGACGTGTCCCACAACAGTTAACTTGGAATTAATTATTCTCTCAATAGCAGATGTATAATAT